TACCAATAACTCTAAAAGAGGAAATTAAGGGACAGCGAATAAATGAGGGAAAATTAAAAATAAGTACATGCTGTTAGAGTTCATTTACACAATAAATAATAATTAGACAAACTATGCAGCTACAGAAACAAAATGTGCTGAGTTGGGTAAACTGCTTCACAGTTTCTTGTTTCTCTGACTAGAGTGGTGGTTGGTGGTTCGCAGGGCGGAGGTGTGATGTGAGACACTCTAGCACCATGTAGTGCATTTCTAAAGAAAAGCAAACTGACCTACAAAGAAAGCTTGCAGGAGGAATCAGGTTTCATTAACGCTACCGCTGGGTCATGCAAGGGTTAAGACACCAAGAGGAACCGGCCTCAAGCTTTGCAATATTTGTACATTTACCTCGTCTAACGTCTGCTCAGTGACTTGCAAAATACACTCATGAGGAAACACATGGTCAGCGTTCAGCTCTGTGGTTCCTTGTTACAAGCGACAGGAGCTAAAGTGTTGTCATGTGTTCCAGCCCACAGCACATTCACACCACCCACTCCTTTACTTCCAATTTCAGCTTTCTTGCAAAGTAAAAGAGTTAGAATAATTGTGTTAGTTGGTTTGGTTACCGTCTCAGCTGATGTGAGTTACTGGAGATTAACGCTGATTGTGATCAAATGAGTGTCACGACAGCATTCATTCGAGTCTGCTTGTTTCCTCGGGGGAAGAAAACTTCATTTTATTGAAGTCACGAGTGGGAAAACTCTTGGATCATCTGAAATGGAGTCAGTTTAACAGTTATGACAGAGCATAGGTGACTTAGCTGTCAAGATTTTGGAGAAACGCTGTTGATATTTAGCTAGTATATTTAGATATTTAGCATGTGTCACATTTCTCTTTCCTCCCCTTTGCCCCATCTGCCCTCCTCTTCGTCCTCCTCTTCCTCCTCCCCGTCTTCTGCACGTGTGCACGACACCCTGGAATAGTGTTGCTCTGTTTGTTTCCCATTTACAGAGTCACAGCTATATATGAACTCTGGGGTTTTTTTGTTTTGTTTTTAGTGCACCCACAGAATGTACAGCGAATGGAAACAGGAGATTTTGGAAAAAAAAAGAAGAAAAAAAGAGGTGCATTGAATAATAATTACTGATTTTACTTCTAAGGCTATAAAATGTTCGTCTCGGTTGTTCCATCAGACAACTTGGAATGAAAAACTGGTCTCACAGCCACGTGAAATCCCTCACTCACAAGATCTGAATGTAAATGTGAGCGGAAAAAACTATTTACATTAAGACGAAGAATGCAAAAGAGGGACATTAACATAATGGACAAAACTCAGTTTTATCTGACAGGGATCTACTTGATGTTTTACTTAAATGGGATCAGAACGGTATTCTGATCCAGTGTCATTCTTTGCTATGCAGTTTGTAAATTATTTGTTTAATGTAACAGCAAATCCACACAACTTACAAGTGAGTATATAAAGAGTGTATTCAAGAGCATCTGTAAGTTAAAGCCAGCTACCTTAACGTCCTACTGTAAGACGCATATAGAGCTTTACTGTCTGTAAATATAAATGATTTAAATG